AATGCACATGAACTTATGTACATACAGCCAAAACTCTCTCTCTCTCTCTCTCTCTCTCTCTCTCTCTCTCTCTCTCTCACACACACACACACACACACACACACACACACACAGTCTAAATTAAATAAATCCCTAAAAACGAGCTAAAATACAGGGCTGGTAGCATTTGCAAACCGCTAGGTCTATGTCAAAAAAGACTACATAGACTCTTTATCTTACGTGTGGTTTCTCCACGCCTGTTTTCACAGCAGACAAGTCACTGGATCTCTTTGGGCCTCTGTTTCCTCAACTACAAAGTGAGAGAAGTAATCTACAGCCTCCGAAGCTGAAGGGTGGATACAGAGCGCGTTAACTGCTTTGAATCCTAGAAGCACAATTTAAATGTGATGCATTTTGGTGAGAAAGATACGGAGGAAAGCTTATTTATTCCACGGACTGCCTGAAGCACGGTCAGAATGGGGCATCATTCTGACAAGAAAATCAATCCCACTGCCTCAGGCCCCCATTACAGTTCCAAAAGTGTAGGTTTCTTCCCCCAGATGAGAATAATACTTTTAACACCGACACCGTGTTTAAGACGTGATTGAAGGACTTTGGTATTAGAGAAGAAATACTCCATGCATCTTTAGCATAAAGCAGGATGGAATACAGATTAAAAACCGACTCCAAAAGGGAGGATTTTCCAGGTCTCCTCTCTCAGCCACGCCAAAACTGCATCATGATTTTCAATGACCAAGCCAACATCTTTTAAAATTTTTACTAGGTGTGTGTGTGTGTGTGTGTGTGTGTGTGTGTGTGTGTGTGTGTGTACGCATGTGCTACAACATGTACGTGTCAGAAGACACCTTTGGGGGGTCAGTTACCTCTTCCTGTCACTTGGGTCCCAGGGAATGAGCTTTGTTTCTCGGGCTTGGCTCCAAGCACCTTCGTCTGCTGAGCCATCTAGCTGGCCCCCAACCTAATAATTTTTAAAAGTAACATGCTGGGAGCTGGAGAGATGGCTCCGTAGTTAAGAATGCTGCCTGCTCTTCTAGAGGACCCAGGTTCAACTCCCAGCTCCCACATGACAGCTCACAACCACCTGTAACTCCAGTTCCAGGGGATCTGACACCTTCTTTTGGACCCTGTGGATACCATGGATACACCCATCCACCATATTTTTTTAATGTGATGCAGAAACTTGTGTATCTGAGGAGCTGGGCTGGAGAGCCACTGTGCTGTGAAGTCCCCATGCGAGACAGCATGCCCTCTCTCTGTACCCTACTGTCTTTTCTACGATGGTGTCACTGGTAGGAGGGCTCTCCCCATGGATAGGAGATTCTTGGGACAGTCCCAGGAGTTCTGGTGGTGTCTTGTCCTCTGAGGGCAGAGCCCAGGAAGATGGAGTGTCTTCTCTTCTCTCTATGCATAGAATATATGTGCCGAAATACGTAAACCCAGCAGTGGGCTTTCAGAGCATGCGCGAGGAAGAAGTTTAATAAGGGAATGCCTGCAGAACTCTGTAGTGGACTTCCAGAAAGTACGTGCGGAGGAAGTCTAAGGAGGGAACTCCTGGCCTAGAAGCTTTACACCGTGCATGTGTTTTCTCCAAGCTCCCAAAGAAAAACCCCAGAATCCCTCAAAAATTAGACTGAGGCCCAAGAAGACCAAGAAAAACGTATATGTTTTTCTCCCTCTTTTTTTGTCTTTCCTTCCTTCCTCTCTCCTCTTTTCTTTCTTCCTCCCTTGGTCCCTCCCTTCCCCAGTCTCTTCCTACCTTATTCTCTCTACCCTTTCCCCCCTTCCCTCTCTCCCTTCCTGCCTTTTCTCCCTTCCTTTCTTCTCTTCTTTCCCTAGTCTCTCCTTTCCTCCCCTCCCTTTCTCCTTCCCTCCATTTTTCCGTCATCTCTCCCCTTTAACCATCTCTCAGACAAGATCTTTTGTGGGACACCACTCATCAGAACAGAAGCCCTGAGTCAGGAGACTTGAGTGTTGCTCTAGAAGTTAGCTAAGGATCATTTGCCTGAGGAATAGTTTGGTCTACAGATTCTAAAAGACTGAGCTTCTGCCAGGGACCCACGAGAACCAAAGGACCAGAGACTGCTGCTGTGAGGGATGCGAGAAGGGACAGAGAAAGGGAGCCACAGAAAAAGTCAGAGAAGGAACGGACACGGGTGTTCCAGGGAGGCACTGGGGAACCTCGATCCACTAGTCTACCCTCCACAGTGCATAGCCAGGCTGCAGTTGAACTTTCTCTAACTCTGAACTGAACTGTTTTGCCTTTTCAGATTTAGTTCATGGTGAGCTGGTTATAGGCAAAGACTGGGACTTTCTCTGACTGTTTGACACCAGGTAGCATTTTGCAAGATGCTAAGCTAGAACTCCAGATCCAACCTGGCTTCTCATCTCCCCATCCAATAGGCCAGCAGACAATGAAGTCAGAGCCATCCTGGGGAACACAAAAGCCCCTAGGAAGCTGCCCTGAAGCCCTCTAAGAAGGAAGGCAAGCAACAAGACCAGGTGGCTTTTTGAGGGAGCAAAGGGTTGGGATCTTAAATGGGAGTCTCATGGGACCAAGACCTGAAAAGCATCTTGGGCACCAGACCACAGCCTCACACACAAGGAGGTGCTGGGTGAGCCTTTCCAGTCCCCCAGCCAGGAGAGAGGGGCCACGGAGAGGCACAGATTATGGGCACAGTTGGAGAGCTAGCTTGTCATGTTGGCATGGAGTCAAGACATGGGAACAGCTGTGGGTGTTGAACTCTGTGAACTTGGAGTAGGAGAATGGTTCCTCCTTGGTTTGAGAATGTTGCCCAGAGCCAGGAGCTGAGACATCACTTCAGAATAAAAGTTTCAGTGTTGTCTTTTAGAATTCACGGAACTTGCTTAAGCATATGTTGATCTCAGGGATGCTAAGGAGGTGGGGTGGGGAAAGGTGTGGGGAGGAGGCAGACAGAGGCCTCACAGAGTTGGTCCTGAAGTTGCACTGATGCTCACTGACAAGTCAGACTGGAGGCATCTTGAGGTTCTACTCACATGTTTGGTGGCCCCTGTACCAAACAGGAATTCCTGATTTTGATGCTATGGGCTTTCAAGGCTATCCTGAAAGACATTTCGCTCCTAAGCAAATACATACCAGGGAGTATATACCTTTATGCAAAAAAATATACTAAAGGGCAAAAAATTTGCATCTGCTCAGATGTCCTTTGTGGAATCCCTAATGCCCAGTGTGATAGTACCTGGAGATGGAGCCTGTGGGAATAATCGAAGTCAGACGAGGGGGCACAGGAGCGGCTTGGTGGTGGCACTTGTGCCCTTGTAAGAGGGAGTTTCCGTCTCTCCGAGTACACACTAAAAGCAGGTCATGCTAGCATGCAGGGAGATGGCAGCCACCCACAAGCAAGGGGAAGGAGACCTTGGAGTGAAACCTAGCTAGCTAGCCTTGACCTTGACCTTGGACCTCCGCAACTGCCTGGTACAAATGTCTGTTATTGAATGCTCGCTCTAGTCTGTGGTTACTTTGTTATGCGCCCCCAGCTAACAGATAATGCACAGATGGTCCCAATTCACAACGGCTCCACGGGAGGTTTCGGCTTTACAATGGCGTGAAAGTGAAGCCTATTCGGGAGTGAGTGTACTTTGAAATTTGAATTTTGATCTGTCCCCAGGCTAGCAATATTTACAGCACTCTCTTGCGAGGCCGGGCAGCAGTGGGGCGCCACAGCTTGCAGCCCGCTGTGTGTGCTATTCTGCGCTTTGTTATGAATGGGATTCTGCGAGATGATTTTGCCCAGCTGTCAGCTACTGGGAGTGTTCTGAGCACAATTATGGCGGGTCAGGCTAAGCCGAGAGGTTCTGTGGGTTAAAAGTATTAGATGCGTTTTTTGACTTTAAAAAATTTCGAAGCCGCAGCAGGTCTTGCAGGACATAATCCTGTCATTCGTCAGAGAGCATCAGTATGCACACAGATACTTCTTACCAAAACTCTTGAAGTAACCTATTATAGGTGTGCAAGAAAATGTTTCTCTTTATAAATAGTTTATCAGCTTTTAAAGTAACCATTAATATTTAAGTTGCTTTCCAAGAAATGCAGATTCATGCCATGTAATAAATGATCGCTTGGGGACACAGTCTCAGCACAGCTCTTGGCTTCTGGAGTCTCTGGGGATCTCTCAGGGCTCCTAAGTTACTGAGGGACTCAATATCTTGGGACAACTGCTTTGACCTTCTCTCCCACGTGAACCCCTGTCCTTGGACTTATCTATGTATAAGAAGATTTCAGCATTTGATTTTTTCAGCATGCTACATTTGTATTGATTTATTGTATTGTATTTGGCAATTTGTGTGTGTGCCCACATGTGTGCAGGTGTATGTGTACCTGTGCGTGCATGCAGTGGTCATGGGTTGTCCTCCTCTATCATTCTCTGCCTTTTTCTTTTGGAAAAGGCCTCTCTCTGAACCGAAGGTTCATGTTTTGTCACCTTAGCAACCCTACTTTCTGGTCCAAAGTTACAGGTATTTGCAGAGATACCTGGCTTTTTATAGTGGTGCTGGAGTCCAACTCTGGTCTTCATGGTTACAGAGAAAGTCCTCTTAACCCCAGAGCCATCTCTCCAGTCCCTTATCATGCCAATTTGACCTTCAAACATGTACCCAAAAGGCTATATTGATTGTATGATTTGGGGACAAGCATCTTTTTGAAAAAACAGAATAAACTTTGGGATCCCTGGGGTGTCTTCCATGGAAGCCTATTGCGGTCCAGAAGGTCTGGAAGATACCGAGTTAGAGAGCTGCCCTGATCTCACCTACTTCAGAGAAAATGTGATTGAGTAGAACCTGAGATGATGGTGGAAATTTTGGTCCTTCTTTCAAACCGTTTATGCAAAATGCCGCTTTCCCACAGCACCGTGTGCTATTTGAATGTGAGCATTACCTGCCCACATCCAGCACATTGTTATACAGCCCTATCTGAGTTGCAAGCCTCTTTGTCAGATCACTGGCCGACAACTCTCAGCCTCACTGTGAAGTATTTGACCTACCATTTACATATAAAGGAGATTTCCATTAATATCCTCATTAGCTATGTTGCTGAAAGATGTGGGGGGAAGTAGAGTTGGCTACTCCAATGTTGAGACTTTTCGTCCTCCATTTGCGTTTCCAGGAGTATTTTAGAGATTCCCACGGGGCTGTGTCATCTTGGGTCTTCCCCATGCTGTGTCCTTGGCTTCAGAAGCTGCATTTTGTCCCCTTCCTGCCCATCTATTTCAGTTACAGAATGCCAGGACCTGGAAGAATCAAAGTGTCTGATGAAAGGGTCAGCAGGGGTCACCCATCAAACACTCAGGGAGGTGAGGACACTGACCTCCCAATGTCTTTGGTGAGTTCAAGGTTGAGCACCCCAAATCCACCCCCAACTTCGGTCTAATCTCCACTCTCCTATATCCCAAGGTGTTACCTGCCCCTTCCCCTGCATGGCCTGGCCTGTGTGATGCCAACGCTGCAGGCCCCACTGCTCACAGTCGCAGGTGACCGGGACATCCTCTCCAGGAAGTCCCATTTAGCTAACCACTGTGTTAGTCATTTAATTGAATGGGGAGACACAGCCAGCACCCTGGCCTGTCCAATGACTTCAGCGCATCCTGTTCCGCCAGCGTTTGAAGACCGCCTCTCCTCCCTCCCCTGCTCCACTCAACCAACACCCACCTTTCCAGCAAGGGATGTGGTATACACTGGAGCTGTCTTCCCAGGAAGGCAGCCGGTGTGAGAACAGCAGACACAGCTATTTAAAAAACAAAACAAAACAAAAACCTCCTTCTCTGCACGAAGAAACAGAGGTAACTCGGGCTCATGATTCACAGATCCAGTCACCCAGGTTCTTCAATGCAACTTCAGAAGCACAAGGCATAGCTCATTGTGAGAAAGGAGACGACTTCACTGTGGCTTTCCAGTTCAGTACAGCAAATGCTTAATTAGCACCTACTGCCTACAACCTCCGGCTGTGATGGGAAAATAAAAGACCAAGCTGTGTTATCTCTGGCTTCAAAGGAGCAGGTAGTTTGGGGTAAGGAGAAGGTGTGTAAACAAATAGAGTGTGTTTATGCCATCCATGCTAATTACTAATTTCAGTCAGGAAGGGATCCTAAGCAAGCCCTAGGTAGATGGGGTAAAGACAGGTTCCTGAACCCAGGACCCACAGGACTGCCAGACCTGGGAGGCCGCTGTGCTGTTCCCCAGCTCAGGCACAGCCTCTTCCTAGAGCGGTACTGTTTCTTCAGACCCGCTTCCGCTATGCAGGGTGCTGAGAGTCCAGGCACACAGGACTGGATTCTTCACCAGCAGCCACAGCAGAGCATCCTATCTATTTACTTGGTTTTCCATATTGGTCACTTTGGAAAGAGTTGGGGATAAGGGGGGTACATCTTGGAGGTGAAACACAGGGACTTCCCAAAGCCCTACTTCCATAAGAAGCCCAAAGACCACTGCAGGGGCCTCTGAGGAGCGTGTGGAGATCAGGCAGCACTACCTTAAACAGAGGTGCTCCCTCTTGACAACCAAAGCGGGAGATGGTCCCTCACAGCAACACTGACGTGGATCCCAGAAAAAGAAGGGGCTCATTCTGAGCTGATGAGAAGCCAGCAAGTCCATCTTTGCTCTTCTGAGGTGCTGTGCCCAGCACGTCCACTCACTGCAACCTTGTATTCATCCCCTGTGTTCTCCACAAACTGACTCCTGGTATTCCCCCATGGACCAGGGTGCCATGTGTCCCGCAGCAGTACCTCCCGGGACACCTCTTTCTTGCCCCATCTGCCTAGAGGCCCAACCCTTAAAACATTTCCCGGATGTGAAACTTCCTATTACAGCTTCAGCCATGCAGACTCAGCAGCGCCCACAGCAGCCAGCTGGGCAAAGTGTCAGCCAGGTGTGGACAGTGTGACCTCACAGAGAGCAAAACTGTGTGTTCTGGGGGAGGGCAGCAGCTGTGACATCCTAGAAGACCAGAGCACATTCAATAACTCTACCTTGAACAGCTTACAATATGACCACAACCCATTCTGCACCTAAAGTAGCCCAGCTGCAGAGGAAGAGAGAGTGTCAGGTCCCTCCTGGAACTTGACTCTCAAATATCAATTGTCCATGACTCACAATCAAAACTATACTTTATATAGTGGTCACACTCACATTCACACACGTATACACATACATATACACATACATGCACACACATATATACATATACACAGACACAGACACATATACACACATGCATACATATATACAAGCATACATATATACAAACATACACATGCACACACATACACATATACACATATGCCTATACACATATATGCATATATATATACATATACACATACAAGCTCTGTACAGCAAGAGATACTCTTAATACTCCCTTGTCTTCCCTCTCCTACTTCACCTTTCTCAAATGCAAATTCTAACAGTCTCTATTGATCTCATAACCCACTGAAGGTCATGGTGACTCCCCACGTACAAGCTCAGGGTTGAGTAGCAGGTGCTGTCTGAAGTTGGAGAACATGTGGTTGGAGGTCCTGGGCTGGTGGAGAAGCAAGCTTGTATCTTTCACTCAGAAAGCATACAGCTCTGAAAAATGAAAGGTGACAGTCATTTCCCCATAGTCTCTACCAACAGAAAAACATAAGAGTGTGAGCCACTGTCATTAACAAGCGTGAGATGGTGGAATCTCTCCCATCACTTTTTGTGGGAGAATGATAACCTTTGACTCTTAGTGTACCCACCTTGTGTACTTTGAAAAACAGAAGTCTCACAAATGCCCTGTAGTTGGAGGAGATGGAATCTCACCTGGATGAATAGTAGGGGCCAGGAACAGTTCATCCTACATACTTAAAACACTGGAAAACTCCGCTAAAGACTAGCTGAGGAAACACTTAACATGCTGCAGAAGAATAACCTGACATCCCACAAGACCCTGAATGTATGGGCAGACTCATAAGATCACAGGGTGTGATTTAAAACCAGGGACATCTGGAATTACAATGAGAAAGAACAAACCAGTCAAAATGACAACCTGAATAGGCAGGAAGTGAGATCCACAAGGACAAGCGTGGTATGAAAGACACAGAAGCCAGACTGACCAGTGGTGATGGAGATTGATCCAGTGGCTACCTGAAGGGGTGGAATATTGGGGGAGAGAGACTGGTAGGACAGATGATGAGACGTCCTACAGTAATGGTCCATGTCTTGATCCGTGTAAGAGTTTATAGGTGACATATTAAAATTCATTCTATGTTTAAATGGATGTATTTTATTGTATTTAAATCCAACCTTAATAACATTGGTTTAATGCATGTCTGTGTGTATGCTGTTCATGGTTTGAGGCCATGTGTGCACAAAGGCCAGAAGAAGACGTCAAGATTTTCCTGAGGCAGGATCTTTCATTGAACCTGAAGCTAGGACAGCAGCCAGTGAGCCCTGGCGATCCCTCTGTCCCGTTCTCTGTGACACTGAGGTGACAGGCTCACAGAGCCACACCCAACGTTTTACCTGGGTGCTGGGAACCCAACCTCAGGTCCTCATGTTTTCTTGAGGAGCACTCTTACCCCCTGAGCTATCTCCCTAGCCCAATATTTTGTAAAATAAAGAAATTGAGTATCCATGCTCAGTTGAAGACTATAGATGAAATACTGGTCAGAAAAGAGAAGGAAAGCCATGTACGGCAAACCCAGGGGAGCCATGGTGCCGCAGGACCCTGAGTCTTTTCTCCTCTTTGTGGCCTTTCTCTAGGGTCTGCAGCTTCTCAAGAGTAGACCCAAACCAGGTTCTTCAGACTGGGCTAGGCTACCAGGACTGATCTTCCTGGCCCTCGCTTGCGCCCCAACCATGATGATCTATCTTCCTTAAGCAGTTCCTGCCTCCCCATGGGTCCCCATTCCTCTTTCTCAGGCTGCTCTGTCAGTCATGAGTCAGTCAAGCAAACCTCACACAGCTCAGGTGATGACAAGCATTTTCTATGTCCTTCTGAATCGGTTTGGCTAAATGGGCTCTTTTATTTCTATATTGTTTACTTCTGCTTCTGCGACCAAATGTCTGACCTAAGGGGAGAAGAGTTTGCACTGGCTTGGGGTTTGCGGTACTGTCCATCATGGTGGGGGAGGGCATGATCCCAGAAATGTGAGGTGACTGGTCACATTGTGTTCCCACTCAGGAAGCAGAGAGAGAGAGGCATGCTGGCACTCGGCCTGCTTTCTCCTCTCTATTCAGTCTAGGGTTCCAGGTCCCAGAATGGAGCTGCCCACATTCAGAATGTGTCTATTCGCCTCTATTAACACAATCTAAAAACTCCCTCCCTGACATGCCCAGGGGTTTGTCTCCTGGGTGATTGTAGATCCTGTCCCACCCCAGTCTCCTTTACTGATGCTATGATCTGGGTCTCCTAGGGATTAAAGCACTAGGCTCGGAAACACTTCTCACCTGAATCATGAGTCAGGAACAATCAAAAGTGATGCATTGTGGCAGCTCAGGTTCACAAGGACAGTGCAGAGTGCTTGGCCATTCGTGGTTGCTCTCCAACACAGAGACGTCGTCTGGACCCAGAAAGAAAGAGACCTCAAGCAGAAAGAGGAGTCAAATTGGGAGAGCATTAAGCTGTTCCTCACTAGAGTGGCCAAAGGGAAAGCAAGCTGGCAGGTGCCTGGCAGTGGACGGAAGTGATGATTAGTGTGCTGAAAAGGTGTTATTCTGAGACACTGCCTGCAGGAAGTGCAGAAAGAAGCCTGCAGGACAGGATCCTGGCACAGGGCATGAGAGGACTGTGAGCAAAGGGAGGCCTCCTGGCTCAGGAGTGACCCGTACAAGCAGAGGTATGCCTAAGGCTGGCTGGTCTCCCCAGCTCCTGGGTGAACATGGAATAGCAGGAGGGGAAGTCCATAGCAAGTAAAAACTGAAAAGCACTTACCTTCTAGCTTAGAATGGGACCTGGACAGCAACAAGATCTCCATGAAGATGGAGAAAATAGAAGTTCAGAGCCATGCCATCTTAAAACTGCTACCTGAGGACCTAAGTTCAATCCCCATAATAGAAAGAGAGAGAGAGAGAGAGAGAGAGAGAGAGAGAGAGAGAGAGAGAGAGAGAGA